AGTTGTAGCATAGCATCTGAGAGTCCATTGTTTCTTGTCTTGATGATTTTGGGGATCTTTCGTGTTGTCTTCGGTTTGATGGTCGTTGGAGGTCTTGTAAATTGTTCTTTCTCATAAACCTTTTCATTTTTCGCAGAAACAAAGCATACTGTTCGTCAGATAAGAAGTTACAAGAGTTAGAGTTCGACCTGTTTGACATTGAAGCTTGTTGATTGGCCACCAAGGCTACATTCCTTGTTTCGGGTTCTTCAGATTCCTTCGGCTCATGCTCGAATTCATATGTTTTCAGATCACTGAAAATCTTGTTCGTGCTGGTAGTTTTCATATCTCTGTGATCTCTCATGGCTGTAACCTTCATATCCCATGATTTTGGGAATCCACGAAGAATCTTTAAGTTCTTTTCCTTTTCAGTTAACTCCTTTCCAAGGTCTAAGAGATCACCCATGAGCTTTGTGAATCTGAGCTCCATATGAGTGATAGTTTCGTTTGGCATCATTTTGAAATCTTCAAATTTCTTCATAGCCACGGTGAGTTTGTTATCCTTCTCCTACACGTCTCCTTCTCCCAAATTCATGAGAACATTCCAGATTTTCATGGCAATTTTGCATTTTCGTACTCTCGGGAATAAAGAGTCATCCAGAGACTTGTAGAGGATGTCACGTGCAACGTTGTCAAGATTTGCTCGAGTTTTCTCATCAGAGGTGAGTTTAGATTTGGCTTAGGTATCATGGTTTCTGCATCTGCTCCTTGTGCGGCAGCCTGAGTGCTTACCATCATTATGGTAATAGGACTTGTGCATATCACATCCCACATCTCATCGTGGATGGCCGAAAGATGTGCATGCATTCTGACTTTCCAGTCATCAAACTTAGACATATTGAAGGCAAGAGGCCTAGATCGATTAGTATGTTCTTTTTTCATTTTCACTGTAAAAAATAGTGCAAAGACGCGAAAAAGCAGTTTTTGTGAAATTTTTAAGAATGGATCTACCAGGCGGTAAATGCAAAGCGTCTACCAATCAAGGTAACTGCTCTGATACCATTGGTATCAGAGTCGAGGTAACGGGTTCGGATCGATGGCGAGGCAAAAGCCGAGTCCAGTTCCAGGTGGGATGTGGCTGTAGGTTGGGCCAAGTCCAATCCCAGGTGAGGACAATTGAGATTTCGGCTTAGGTATCATGGTTTCTGCATCTGCTCCTTGTGCGGCTGCCTGAGTGCTTACCATCATTATAGTAATAGGACTTGTGCATATCACATCCCACATCTCATCGTGGATGGCCGACAGATGTGCCTGCATTCTGACTTTCCAGTCATCAAACGTAGACATATTGAAGGCAAGATGCCTATATCGGTTAGTATGTTCATTTTTTCATTTTCACTGTAAAAAATAGTGCAAAGACGAGAAAAAGCAGTTTTTGTGAAATTTTTAAGAATGGATCTACCAGGCGGTAAATGCAAAGCGTCTACCAATCAAGGTAACTGCTCTGATACCATTGGTATCAGAGCTGAGGTAAGGGGTTCAAATCGATGGCGAGGCAAAAGCCGAGTCCAGTTCCAGGTGGAATGTGGGCGTAAGTTGGGCCAAGTCCAATCCCAAGTGCGGATGATTAGCGCGTAGGCTAAAGACCAAGTCAAGCATGCTACGCAACTGGGCTTGGTGATCAAAAGTTGCGGCAGGTGCTGGGAAGGGGATTGTTGGGCGTCGGCCGGGTTGGCCGAGTTCAGAACCTGCTCGATTCGAGACGTGGCGCTGTGGCTTACCATGGAGAGATGTGGTTAAATTGTTAATGTCCACCTGGTTTTAAGTAGGATAGGGAAACCAGGTACCATAGAACTCTGTGGTTAAGCGTGCTTGACTTCCGGCAATCCAGGGATAGGTGATCCCCTGGGAAGTGAGCATAGTGCAGCGCTGAGATCAGTCTGAACTCTGAAATCTTTGAGAATGGAAAATCTCTGGGGAGTTCTCAACAATGCAGCTCTGCCGGTGCTCCATGTCAATGATGACTTTCCACCACCTGGGTTTGAACCATACCAGAGGTACCCATACCAGAGGTGCCCCAGCCCGTCAATGACCCGTTTTCGACCCCTTTCCAACAGGGTTTCAACCCATGGCTGATGTGCCCCAGCCCGTCAATGACCCGTTTTCGACCCCTTTCCACCAGGGTTTGAACCCATGGCTGAGGTGCCCCAGCCCGTCAATAACCCGTTTCCACCAGGGTTTGAACCTATACCAGAGGTCCCCCATCAGGCGAATCATGGGTTTCCTCCTGCCGGATTTCAACAAGGGCTACCCCATCAGGCGAATGGGTTTCCTCTTCCACCCGATCAGGCGAATTATGAGCCACCCCATCAGGCGAATCGGTTTTCTATTGCACTCGATCAGGCGAATCATGGGCCACCCCATCAGGCGAATCCCACATCTCATCGTGGATGGCCGAAAGATGTGCCTGCATACTGAATTTGCAGTCATCAAATGTAGACATATTGAAGACAAGATGCCTATATCGGTTAGTATGTTCTTTTTTTCATTTTCACTGTAAAAAATAGTGCAAAGACGCGAAAAAGCAGTTTTTGTGAAATTTTTAAGAATGGATCTACCAGGCGGTAAATGCAATGCGTCTACCAATCAAGGTAACTGCTCTGATACCATTGGTATCAGAGTCGAGGTAACGGGTTCGGATCGATGGCGAGGCAAAAGCCGAGTCCAGATCCAGGTGGGATGGGGCCGTAGGTCGGGCCAAGTCCAATCCCAGGTGAGGTCAATTGAGATTTCGGCTTAGGTATCATGGTTTCTGCATCTGCTCCTTGTGCGGCAGCCTGAGTGCTTACCATCATTATGGTAATAGGGCTTGTGCATATCACATCCCACATCTCATCGTGGATGGCCGAAAGATGTGCCTGCATTCTGACTTTCCAATCATCAAACTTAGACTTATTGAAGGCAAGAGGCCTAGATCGGTTAGTATGTTCTTTTTCCATTTTCTCTGTAAAAAAGAAATAGTGCAAAGACGAGAAAAAGTAGTTTTTTAAATAGTTTTTAAATTTGGATCTACCACGCAATAAAGGCTAAGCGTGTACAGATCAAGGTAACTGCTCTGATACCATTGGTATCAGAGCCGATGTCACGGGTTCGAATCGATGGCGAGGCGAAAGCCGAGTCCAGTTCCAGGTGGGATGTGGGCGTAAGTTGGGCCAAGTACAATCCCAGGTGCGGATGATCAGCGCGTAGGCTAAAGACCGAGTCAAGCATGCTACGAAACTGGGCTTGGTGATCAAAAGTTGCGGCAGGTGCTGGGAGGGGAATTGTTGGGTATCGGCCGGGTTGGCCGAGTTCAACCCCTGCTCGATTCGAGACGTGGCGTTGTGGCTTACCATGCAGAGATGTGGTTAAATTGTTAATGTCCACCTACCTATCACCAATTGGTTTTAAGTAGGATAGGGTAACCAGGTACCATAGAACTCTGTGGTTAAGCGTGCTTGACTTCCGGCAATCCCGGGATAGGTGATCTCCTAGGAAGTGAGCATAGTGCAGCGCGAGATCAGTCTGAACTCTGAAATCTTGGAAAATGGAAAATCTCTGGGGAGTTCTCAACAATGCAGCTCTGTCGTTGCTCCATGTCAATGATGACTTTCCACCACCTTGGTTTGAACCCATACCAGAGGTGCCCCAACCCAACGACCCCTTTCCACAAGCCCAATGACCCCTTTCTAACAGGGTTTGAACCCATGGCTGAGGTGCCCGAGCCCGTCAACGACCCCTTTCCACCAGGGTTTGAAACCATACCAGAGGTGCCCCAGCTCGAAGACCCCTTTCCACCAGGGTTTGAACCCATGGCTGAGGTGCCCCAACCCGTCAATGACCCCTTTCCACCAAGGTTTGAACCTATACCAGAGGTCCCCCATCAGGCGAATCATGGGTTTCCTCCTGCCGGATTTCAACAAGGGCCACCCCAGCAGGCGAATGGGTTTCCTCTTCCACCCGATTAGGGCGAATCAGGCGAATGGGTTTCTTCTTCCACCCGATCAGACGAATCATGGTCCACTCAATCAGGCGAATCATGGGTTTCCTCCTGCCGGATTTCAACAAGGGCCACCCCACCAGGCGAATGGGTTTCCTCTTTCACCCGATCAGGCGAATCATGGGCCACCCCATCAGGCGAATGGGTTTCCTCTTCCACCCGATCAGGCGAATCATGGGCCACCCCATCAGGCGAATGGGTTTCCTCTTCCACCCGATCAGGCGAATCATGGGCCACCCCATCAGGCGAATCCCACATCTCATCGTGGATGGCCGAAAGATGTGCTTGCATTCTGACTTTCCAGTCATCAAACGTAGACATATTGAAGGCAAGAGGCCTAGATCGGATAGTATGTTCTTTTTATATTTTCTTTATTTTCTCTGTAAAAAAAATAGTGCAAAGACGAGAAAAAGCAGTTTTTGTGAAATTTTTAAGACGGGATCTACCAGGCGGTAAAGGCAAAGCGTCTACCGATCAAGGTAACTGCTCTAGTACCATTGGTATCAAAGCCGAGGTCACGGGTTCGGATCGATGGCGAGGCGAAAGTCGAGTCCAGTTCCAGGTGGGATGTGGTCGTAGGTCGGGCTAAGTCCAATCCCAGGTGAGGTGAGTTGAGATTTCGGCTTAGATATCTTGTTTCTGCATCTGCTCCTTGTACGGCAGCCTGAGTGCTTACCATCATTATGGTAATAGGACTTGTGCATATCACACCCCACATCTCATCGTGGATGGCTGAAAGATGTGCCTGCATTATGATTTTCCAATCATCAAACTTAGACATATTAAAGGAAAGAGGCCTAGATCGGTTAGTATGTTCTTTTTCCATTTTCTCTGTAAAAAAAATAGTTCAAAGACGAGAAAAATAAGTTTTTGTGAAATTTTTAAGAAGTGATCTACCAGGGAGTAAATGTAAAGCGTCTACCTATCAAGGTAACTGCTCTGATACCATTGGTATCAGAGCCGAGGTCACGGGTTCGGATCGATGGCGAGGCGAAAGCCAAGTCCAGTTCCAGGTGGGATGTGGCCGTAAGTCGGGCCAAGTCCAATCCTAGGTTAGGATGATGGGCGCGTAGGCTAAAGACTGAGTTAAGCATGCTACGCAACTGGGTTTGGTGATCAAAGGTTGCAGCAGGTGCTGGGACGGGGATTGTTGGGCGTTGGCGGGGTTGGCCGAGTTTAGCCCCTGCTCGATTCGAGACTTGGCGCTGTGGCTTACCAAGGAGAGATGTGGTTAAATGGTTAATGTCCACCTACCTATCACCAATTGGTTTTAAGTAGGATGCCTACCAGGTATAATAGAACTCTGTGGTTAAGCGTGCTTGACTTCCGGGATGGGTGATCCCCTGGGAAGTGAGCATAGTGCAGCGCTGAAATCCAACATTATTATTTAATTTTTTTTTTTTGAGCGCAAAATCAATCATATATATTTATTCACCATTCTATAATCAGTCTAAACTCTAAAATCTTGGAAAATTGAAAATCTCTGGGAATGGGGAGTTCTCAACAATGCAGCTCTGCCGGTGCTCCATGTCAATGATGACTTTTCACCACCTGGGTTTGAACCCATACCAGTGGTGCCCCAGCCCGACTACCCCTTTCCACCAGGGTTTGAACCCATGGCTGAGGTGCCACAGCCCGTCAATGACACCTTTCCAACAGGGTTTGAACCCATACCAGAGGTGTCCCAGCCCGACAACCCCTTTCCACCAGGGTTTGAACCCACTGCTGAGGTGCCCCAGCCCGTCAATGACCCCTTTCCACCAGAGTTTGAACACATACCAGAGGTCCCCCATCAGGCGAATCATGGGTTTCCTCCTGCCGGATTTCAACAAGGGCCACCCTATCAGGCGAATGGGTTTCCTCTTCCACCCGATCAGGCGAATGGGTTTCTTCTTCCACCCGATCAGGCGAATCATGGGCCACCACATCAGGCGAATCATGGGTTTTCTCCTGCCGGATTTCAACAAGGGCCACCCCATCAGGCGAATGGGTTTCCTCTTCCACCCGATCAGGCGAATCATGGGCCACCCCATCAGGCGAATCTTGGGTTTCCTCTCCCTGATCGTATGATTCAGATCGAGCACGCCGGAGAATTCATTAGGTGGAGTACAAAGAAGAAGAAGAAGGGCTGAATCGTAATTTAAATGTTTTGTATTTCTTTAATTTAATATTTTTTTTTATCTATGCTTATGTGGTAGTCAAGTAGCCATTTCAAAGCTTATGTGGCGAGCCACATGGGTATTTACCGCCACTTACCAGAGAGGCAACCGGCTAATTGGGTTAGATGACTCAAAATCATGTGTTCATGTGTTTAATTGAACTTTTTAAAAGTTTGTGGGGCTAATTGACTTTTCGCGAAATGTTTAGGAGTCTATTTGGCTATTTTCTCTAATTATTAAAATAAAATTTTAAAAATTAATTTTAAATAAAAAATCGACACGTCATCACATTAACAAGTAAACAAGTCATTTTAGATTAAATTGAATAAATTTGTGTAATTCAGAGACTTAATTATATGTTTTTTGAATTCAGTGACCTAATTGTATTTTGGTTTGTAGTTTAATGCCTATTTGAACCTTATTCTTACTGGCCGACACGTGTATTTGTAAGAAGACAGGCCGACAGGGTGGTCAATCTTAAATCTTAATCTTATCACCCACATGGGCCATGCCCACACCATTAGTCTTGAAAGCTCCATTGAAAGAAAAACCAAAACCTCCCCTTAAGCTGTGAGGAAGAAGAAAGTTGCAGTGGAAATGGCACATGGAGATCCCCTCCCACCCCACGTTCTCATCTTCCCTTTACCTCTTCAAGGCCCTGTGAACAACATGTTCAAGTTAGCCGAGTTGCTCTGCCTCGCCGGCGTCAACATCACCTTCCTCGTCACCGACCACATCCACCGCCGCCTCTCCCGTTACGCCAACATCCACTCGCGTTTCCGGCGCTACCCAGGCTTCAAGATTGCGACCATCGCCGACGGCTTGCCCGCCGACCATCCGCGCGACGGCAACCAGTTCATCGAGATCTTTGACTCCCTCAAGTCGCCGGAGACCAAGGCGGTGTTAAGGGACGTGCTTTGCGGCGACGGCGGGAAACAAGGCCCCCTCACTTGCGTCATAGCTGATGGAATCTTGGGATTCGCATTCGATGTTGCTAATGATGTCGGGATTCCTGTTATCTCTACTCGTACTGTTAGCCCTGCTTGTCTTTGGATCTTCTTTTGCCTCCCTAAACTCATTCAATCTCAAGAAATCCCCTTCCCAGGTCAGTTCTTCTGTTCATTCATTCTCCCAAAAGTACATACCTAAAATGCCCCTATGTTATAATTTACAAATTAAATCGTTTTCAATTATTCATTTCTCCAATTAAAGTGTACCTTAAATGTTCAATTCTTACCTAATACGGAGTATAACTTCCCATCAATCACCTTATTAAGTATTGAATAAGTCCACATCGACAGCTCAACTGGTCGGGTGAAATTTGTTAAAAAAAATCAAAGATCGAGTTTCACTAGCGACAGTGTGGGAGTAACTTTTTAAAATGAGAGGGATAATTTAACTTTTGTTGATTAGTTGAGATGTAACATTTCAAAATGAGAGGAACAAGTTTAGCTTTTGTTGATTAGTTGAGACGCTATGATTTATTTCTCTACAAATTATCAAGTCGGGACGTAGAGCGGTTCCAACTTTTTGTCGCAAATAAATATAGAATAATTGAGAATTTTGTTAAGAAATTGAAGGGTTGAGGATATTACTATAGTTATTTTCCATTCTTACCTAATACGGAGTATAATTTTCCATCAATAACCTTATTACTTATATTGAATAAGCTTACGTGTACAGCTTAACTGGTCTAATAAAATTTGTTAAAAGAAATTAAAATAAGTGTCACTAATAAAAGTGTGGGAGCAACTTTTAAAATGAGATGGAGAAGTTTAATCTTTGTTGATCAATTGAGACATCATAATTTACGGGTCTATAATTCCAATTTTTTGTCGCAAATAAGTACTGAGTATTCGAGAATTTTATTAAGGAATTGAAGGGTTGAGGATACTTTTGAGAAAAAATTGAATAGTGGAAGATTTAATTTGATAATATTTGAAATTATGGTATATAGTGGAGTAATGATTTTGGTGATAACTCTTCTGGAATTTTCGTACTTTGAAATTGGTTTTGTTCTGAGAGATTAAGGAAAGATAAACGTTGACTTGATGTTATGAAATATAATATCCAGTTTTTCATATGGTATAGGGAACGATCTGGATGAGCTCATAAAGAACGTTCCAGGAACGGAGACTTTTCTCCGGCGGCGCGACTTGCCGGGATTCTGCCGGTCCGGCGACATTTCCGATCCAAACGTGAAGTTGTACGAAACGGAGGGACAAATTAATTCACGTGCACGTGGTCTAATTCTCAACACGTTTGAAGAGCTAGATGGGTCCATACTTAGCCAAATTCGAACACTTTGTCCAAATCTTTACCCAATCGGACCACTCCACGCCCACCTGAAAACCAAGCTACTCGCCGGGGAAACGGCGGCGACGGCGTCGCCGCCGGCGTCAAGTAGCTTGTGGCAAGAGGACAGGAGTTGCATTGGTTGGCTAGATAACCAGCCATTGAGATCTGTGATATATGTTAGCTTTGGGAGCATTGCAACGCTGACTAAGGAACAGCTAATGGAGTTTTGGTATGGGTTGGTGAATAGTGGGCAAAAATTCTTGTGGGTCATCCGGCGGGATTCCGTCGCGGGAAAAGACTGGAAGAGTCAGGCTCCGACAGAGTTAACCCAGGGCACACAGGAGAGAGGGTACATAGTGGGATGGGCTCCGCAAGAGGAAGTATTGGCTCATTTAGCGGTGGGTGGATTCTTAACCCACAACGGATGGAATTCGACCCTCGAGAGTGTGTACGAGGGTGTTCCTATGATCTGTTGGCCATACTTTTTGGACCAACAAGTGAATAGTAGGTTTGTTGAAGCGGTTTATAGATTAGGGTTGGACATGAAAGATACATGTGATAGAGTGACGATTGAGAGGATAGTTAGAGAGTTGATGGAAATGAGGAAAGATGAGTTCTTGCAAGAGGCTAAGAAAATGGGAGAATTGGCCAAGAGAAGCATCCTTGAGGGTGGTTCATCTTATACTAGTTTTGAGCGTTTGGTAAGTGATATAAAAACATGGAGTTCTAGGAGTCTTCGTTGTGATAATTGATCACATCCTTGCTAAACAAATGGTGGAGGAGATAAATTGTGATGACTCAACAATCTTTTCTGTTGAAATATCATTTGGAAAAAGTTCATTAAGATACTATATTAAAGATTATGAATTATATTATCATTATGGATTTAATTGTTTTCATATACCCTAAATTGGATTGTATATCTAACGAGTTCAAAATATTCTATGTATTAATCATAGTTTTGTTCTTATAAATTAATAAGTTCAAATTATTGGACATTTAGTTGTGTACGTTACATATTTATAACAATACTAATTTCTTACGCCCATTGCGCAATTGAGATAATATCCAATATTTTTTTTAAATAAGTACTTTAAAGTATATCAAGACAATATTATACCAAGACTATGTAGACCTAACAATTATGGACACGACCCGTTAACACGATACGAAACCGGACATGAAAATAACAGGTTAGTGTTTAGTCTGAACGTGACCCGGGTCGTTAACGGGTTGACCCGTTAAAGACCCGTTATGTTTCGTGTCTTAGCGGGTCAACCCCGTTAAACCTATTAAGAACCCGTTAATATTATCGTGTTAACCCGTTAACACGAACCCGTTTACCAAACCTGTTTATAACCCGCTAAGAATCATTGTCATTTAGGTAAAAACTATTGTCATTATTGAGATTACAAAAGATATTATGAACATGACTAAGGATGAATTTACTACATTAGGCCAAGATCCTACACCAATTAATTGATGTTCAACAATTTGAAATTTGAATTTTATTGTGTTCAATTTTATTCTAAAAACTTGTATGGACTCATTTAATTATCATTTTTGGATGTTATTTTATCATTTTATGAATGTTGTGAATTGAATATTTTTTAGTTTGTTTTGATAAATTGAACGGTAAGTTTTTTTTTTTTTTTTGAACTTAACTTTAAATTTTAGTTTTTTAAATATATTAATAAAAATAACGGGTTTAAACGGGTTTCGTATCATATCGTGTCGACACGACTTGAAACTTGTTAACAAAACGTGTCTATCGTGTCAACCCGTTAACAAATCGTGTCCGTGTTCGTGTTAAAAATTTGAACCCGTTAACCATAAGGTACGGTGTCGTGTCCGTGTTTAGCCTTATCGTGTTCGTGTCGTTATCGTGTCGACCCGTTAATAGACCCGTATACACGAATTGCCAGGTCTAAGACTATGTGGTCTAATGGTACCCGAGTTGGACTTCCATTTTAGAGCCAGTAGCATTCAAAAAAAAAAAAAGAAAGACAATATTATATTGAATATGTTAAACAATTATAATTGTATAGGTAAAGATAGTTTCTACTTCAATTTGTTGGGTGATTTGAATACTCTTTTTGTCAATAAATTATATTGAATATGTTAAATTTGCCTATTTAAATAGGCAATTCTAAATTTACAAATGCAAGATAATATAGTTAAGATTGATAATAATTGTCAAGAAAATAATTGTATAGGTAAAGATAGTTTCTACTTCAATTTGTTGGGTGATTTGAATACTCTTTTTGTCAATAAATCCCCCAAATAATTAATATGATTGGCTTAATTATATTTTTTTAAAAAAAAATTATTATTATTATTATTATTATTATTATTATTATTATTATTATTATCATTATCATTATCATTATCATTATCATTATCATTATCATTATCATTATCATTATCATTATCATTATTATACCCTTATGTCATTTTACATGTTAATCTAAACAGCTAATTTTTTCAAATATCTTTTTACCAATTGTTGATATAATTCGCTGGTCAAATTCGCTAATATAATCCACTAACGCTAACCGCTAACTGCTGATTGTAAAACAAGGACATTGCGAGATAGTTCTTACTTCAATTTGTTGTGTGATTTGAATACACTATTTGTCAACAAATTTCTCAAGTAGTTAATATGATTGGTTTTATTAATTATATTTTTTTGAAATTTTTTCATGGTATTAATAAAATATTTGGTAAATAAATATATAGCATTATTTCGTATTATAACTTTGATATTTAATTAAAAAATAGTGCACAAAAAAGATAATAGACAATGTAGTGAATATAATCAATTGATGAATTTGAATGTAAAGAATTTTTACATTGGAGAAATATAAAGACAATATAACTAATAAAATTATTTCTGTTAATTAATTTATTGATAATGAATAATTTTTCTTAATAAAGACATTGTAGGGACAATGTAGCGAATATAATCAATTGATGAATTTGAATGTAAAGAATTTTTATATTGGAGAAAAATAATACAATACAACTAATGAAATTATTTCTCTTATTTAATTTATTGATAACGAATAATTTTTTTTTTTTGAATAAAGACATTGTAGACACATAATTCTTCGAACCTAAGACCTTTCTTATTGAAATTAATGAGTAAGTTAACGGTGAACTAACAGAAATTAACGAAAAAGATAATATTTAATGGATAATCATATTCATTAAAGATAAATTAGGAAATCATAAGAAAAAATTAAAATATGATCAATCTGAGCCATTCATTTGATTAAAAAATTTGACCGCCATTTTTCTACCCATTATAGGCCTAACTCTCTTGGGCTCTTATTAGTATAGTAGATTAAGAAATTTATTAGAACAAGAACATTGAACTTGACAAGAACAAGAAATTTAATAAGTTCTTTAGCAATTAATAGAGTCTTTAGTCTCTTCAAAATTAATTTTGGGTTATCAAGTAAGACTCAAGGCAACTTTGCGAGACATATAAGTAGGACTTATAATGTTCAGTTCATTTAAACTGGACCGTGAAGTTATTTGGGAAGTTATGGTGTATGTTTAAAATTTCAAATTTTGAACTAAATGTTTTGTTTTGTTGTTTAAGTTGTAGAAATACTTCTATGACTAAGCTATCATTTGGCTATATTAATGAGTGGGAGTGACAGATGTGTCAATTTGAAGATTTTCTCTTTTCTTTTTGAAAATGAATGTTTTCTCTTTCCAATTGTGTACATAATTTATTTTTATTTTATTTTGTTTGAGAAACATCCCTTAAGGTATCAAGAATAAATGTTGTGTTTGTTCATAAAGAACCTAATAAGTTAGGGAATTAAAATGCATGTGATGCATAGAAGATATTACTCTGTTAAATAGAGGCCATGTCATATTGTGCTACTTACACAGTTACACAAGTGTAAGAATGTTAGATTGTCATGTATGATATATATTATACATTAAGGCCTTAGTGCAAGTTGACTATGCTTATTAACTAGTTCGTTTTGGTTAGATTGAATGATTAGAGTTTGTCTTTAATCAACTACTATGCTTATATAAATCTTATATTGATGAAATACAGGATATACATTATATAGCACCTTTAGTTTAAGATATTCATACTGTTCGTAATAATGTCAAAACATCATCTAGAATTCTGAGTTAAGTATGTGAGTCATTTAAAAGATAATATTATTAATAACATATCAATTAAGATATTCATACTATTCGTAATAATGTCAAAACATCATCTAAAATTCTGAGTTAAGTATGTGAGTCGTTTAAGAGATAATATTACTAATAATATATCAATTAAGATATTCATATTGTTCGTAATAATGTCAAAACATCATCTAGAATTCCGAGTTAAGTATGTGAGTCGTTTAAGAGAGAATACTACTAATAACATATCAATTATGATTGAAGATTAATACACCTTAATTTCCGCTTTAGATATTACAAGCTAGATTAGTCTCTTCATATTTAAATTTATTTAATTAATTGTTAGACTATATTAATATGAACAGATACTACAATGTAATAGAGCTAGTAGCATTAAAAAAAAATATTGATATGTAACATTGAGTTATTCTTTAATCATGAATACATTGATATGGGAATTACAGGGTTTTATTTATTTCTTTCTTTTGGGCGCAATACCCAATTATGCATCTTGCTCAAAGTTTTTGTGCTGTGTGCTATTGAGGGGTCACCACCAGGACTTTCTACATACATCGGTATTTAATTGTTGTTTATTCTTATTTAGCTGAATATAGTAGACATTTACTTACTGTAAATTAGGAGTTCTCCTCACTTTGAGAGATTGCTTCTACACTGTCTCTGCTAAGACTCAATCCTTATTCATTTTTCTTAAACCTTACTTTGTGATCAATGAGTTGCACATACGGACTTAATTGTTGTTTATTGGTAACGACGTTGTGCAATTGTTATATCGTGCACCAGGTCGCATAATGCATTTTGCACCTAAAAATTTCTGTTTCGTATCTACGTAATTATAAAATAGAATATACATAAACTCCCAACATAATATACATAATCTTAACATAATACACATAAACTCTTAAGCCGCATAATGCATTGTGTATCTTGGTGCACGATATAATTTGCCACGTTGTGATGTTAAGTGTACGTGTCGTTTTTTTCCGAAAAAAAAAAAATGTACGTGTCAGTTCAAGTTTGGTTTATATGAGCTCGTCGAGTAATCCACCGTCCACATTAGAATGTTGTCCGGCTCAGTATTGTTCCCACTTTTAGATTGTTGAATCAATTCAGTCTACTTATTTTATTAAAAAATTCTGAAGTAATAAAATTTTAAGTTTATAATAAAGTACTCCGTATAATTTATACTTCGCAAAATTTTAATTAAAATTTTATTACATATTTTTACAATTGTATATGGTGGAGAGAATTAATTTGGGATCCTAATTAATTAATCTAATAACAAGGTTAATGATAACTGAATATGAAAGCACAGATATTATTTGAAAGAGAAAAAGGAACTTCGTATTTTTCTATTGAATTTTTTATTATTACAATGAGATGTCGCTACATACATGCCATTTGAGCACAAGATGCTTGGCTACCTAGGTTAGTTCAAATCGACGCAAATTAATTTATAACCGATGCTAAAAGTTTCCATGAATTTTAATGTGTAAATTACTTATGAGTGTGTTAGTTTGTGGCAAGAGGTGTAAATAACCGATATATATATATATATATATATATATATATATATATATATATGTTAGCGTTGGGAGCATTGCAACGCTGACTAAGGAACAACTAATGGAGTTTTGGTATGGGTTGGTGACAATCGTTATGCCATGGAGCCGTTCATGGTGAACACGGTCTCAACGGTGTTAGTGCACCGTTATCTTTTTTTTTTTTTTTTCTTAATTAATCGCGTGACTTTTCTTTTTCATTTCACATTTTGCGGTTTCACTTTAATTTGAGGTGA